AAACATCCTGGTAAACATAGTGAATTTAAGAATAAACATTCAAATGGTTTACCCATATTGTAACTCATGTAATATTCAAACACCTAATAATTAAAAAAATAAGTAAATAAATAATATCACGCACACACACACACATATATAATAATAATAATAATAAAATTTACCTGTATCATTGTAACAAAGCTAGCGGTTTTATTAGCAATTTGTGCTTCACCACATATACCGATTACGTCATCATCATTATCGATGTAATTTTTTAGATATTTTAAACTATTTTCATCAACTATGGTGTCAGCATCGATCATCGTCATTAATTCATAATCGTCTACAGTTAAACCATTTGTTATGGAACGAATTTTTTCAAACAATTCAAAATCTAACTTTGTCATTGGTGAATTATTAAAGGAGACTCTCAACAAATTGAACAATATCAATTGCGAATCTCTTTTTCCTCTATTTCCAGATCTATCATTCTGTAAATTCTTGTTTGCCTCTCTTTCTTCAGGAGTACCACATTTTACCACCAATATTGCTGGAGCCGATCTATCCTCGTATCTATAATATCCAGAATAAATTTGTGCCATGTTATGTGCAGTGACGTTGCCTTTTTCTTTGGCAATTGATGTGTAACTTAATGGCTGAGGTTCATTTTCTTCCATCTCCCCTTCTTCAGGTATTGTTGATTCTTTTTTGTTTTGGAATTTTTTGTCTTCTCTCAAATCTAATAAATCTTTTACTATTTCTGATGTCGGTTTATTGTTTTGTTTTCCAATAATGTTTTTACCATCGACGATTATAAACAATAATTTATTTTGATCGGGATAATCTGCCACAGCTAATGATTTCAAAGCAGATGATATTGCTTCTGAAGATTCTGAATAACAAGGTACCATTACAATTAAATTTTTGACGGGTTTGCTATCGTCTGTTTTTATCATTCTTTTTGTTATGATGAAATTGTAAATTACTGAAGATATTATTTTTATTGAGCTAAGTTACTTGAAAAGCCCAACATAGAAGATTGTTGATAGCGAATACAACACACAGTTACTGCTAACGCCTTCTAATCTTCCAATATTAAAATGTTCTAAACAAGGTAGTATCTCGGTAAATTCTGTTTGTCGATTAATGGCTAATGTTGCATCTTTGTTTGCTATTGAGTTTAGTAACGACTTGTAACGTGTTTTTGAATTATCGTCTTTTCCCAACCATAAATTATTGTTATTGTCTGATAAATAATCAGTTAGGTTGTAAACAAGCGAATCGTATAGAATGTATTTGTTATTGGTTATGTTATTAGCAGCATTTTTGATTTCATCCCATGGAACAGAAACGTGGAGATTGGTGTATAAAGCTTTAAGAGAGTCAAGAGATTTTTTTGATGAATGGCAATGAAATTTGCCATCGTTCAATTCACTGTCACTAAATCCACAAAGGTTGTTAATTACAGGTGAATAATTACAACCAATTGAAGCACCATCTAATGGAAAAAATTTAGTAGCATCTTGACCATAAAAACTTTGAATGAAAGGTGTTAAGGTTGCATTGGTTTGAGGAGGAGAAACAGGTCGATGCAGATCCATATTGAAATAATCACCAACGCCATAAATTTTACCCCTGACGATCATTACTCTATGACTATCCGAACCGGTCGCTGACCAAGAATTTTGAATCATGTCTTTTGGTATAGGTATAGGAGTATTACAAAACTCAAAACTCAAATTTATTGTTAAAAGAGCCGTCGCAACTACCGCCATGATGATTATAAGACACGTTGCTACTTTTTCTTTCCAAGCTTGGCGAGATGCTTCACTTGCTAATTTACCAAACCTGATTAACAAATAGTCAGGTATGTAGAAGGTGAGGATGAGGGTGATGAAAGACCAAATAGTACCCTCTTTACGTGGTTTCATTTCGTCACGTAATCGTTCACCTGCGCTTATGGTTCTGCTGTTATGCTTCATAGATTCCGCTATTGATTTATAATCAAGAGAATCTCTATAATTATTATTTGATTGTAATCTTGTCACGATCAAATCGTCTTGATCATTCTGACGATTTAAACTAGAAATGCTATGAATATTTTGACTGCTGTATCTTTTTGAGCGTCTATTACCGTTAGCGAAAAAAGAAACTCTCTTTGAATCTTTGTCATAATGGAAATTTGATGATATATCATTCTCGTCAACGCCTCTTTCAATATTATCAAAATTGTTATTGCGCGAAACCAATATACTATTGATACTCGAAATGCTTGTAACGACATTTGGTGATTTATGAGATAGTTTATTGTTACTTCAGCGCTGACAAAACCGACTAAATTTTGGAAAAGAAAAAGAAAATTTTGTTGTTAAAAAAAAAAAAAATTTTTTTTTTGTAGGAATGTTGTTGTTGTCAAAAGTATTTATAATTTACCTTGTCAACAATATTGACATTTGCGCCATTTTTTATCAGTACTTCAACAGTGCTTGTATGACCTTGATAACAAGCTAACGCCAATGCAGTTTTACCAGTTTCATCTTGATAATCAACATCAATTTGAAACCCTCCCTCTAACAACATTCTAGATATTGAGGTGTGTCCATAAGTTGCCGCCACTAATAATGGAGACATCTCATGTTTATCGGTGATGTTAACGTTTACTTTATACTGTAATAGCAGTTTTACGATTTCTGAGTTTCCGTTATGAGTTGCATGAAATAATGCACTTCTTCCATTTTTATCTAGAATAACATATTCAAATCATATCATGTTAGTTAAAAAAAAATAAAAAATAAAAAATAAACGCGTACGCTTAATTTATTTTAAATTTTTTTTTTTTTTACCTTGTAGATCAATCCCAATCTTTTCTTTCTTTAGTAAATATCTGGTAATATCGACATAATTCAAAGTGCAAGAAATCATCAAAGGAGTCAAATAAACATTTTTACCCTTGCGATTATTTTCATCGGCAGTGATTTCATTAGTAATCAATGTGTTAATGTCGTAGTCAGGATTTTCTCTTAGTATTCTACCCAATCCATAAATATCATTTGCTATAATTGCATTATAAACTAAATTAGAAATCTCGGGTTGAGTCGAATGTTGAGCTATTAAAGTTATAGTGGAAGAGGAGGATGAGGAGGCGGCGGTGATGGTTATAGGAAGTTCGTTGTTGTTATTGGGTGCGAATTCAACATTGGATGTTGAAGTTGAAGTGGACGAATTATTTTGTAATTCGTTTTGTTGATCTTGTGTTGTTTGTGTCATTAAGAAAGAAAGGTTAAATAAAGAGCCAAGAAATAATTGTCTTAAAGAAAAAAAATTAACTGATGAATTGCAAAAAAACCAATGATCAATTATTGAATAAGTTAAAAGGCCAGAATTAAATTCAAATATCATAAACAAAAGAGGAGATAGGGT